GAATCACAAGCTTCACCCCCTCCCCTCCCCTCCCCTCCCCTCCCCTCCCCTCAACTCCCTCCTTGTTTCCGGACGCTGATGCCGAGACCCGGTGTGTTTTGCTGGTCCGCGTGGATCCCACGCTGACCTGCTCAAGCAACGCCGAGGCGGCGTGGGCGAAGCCAGCGTTGATGTTCATTAGATTCTACTTGAATTCAGGTTGCTGGATGTTGGGATGCCTCTCCGTTCTTGACATTGCGGGCATCTCGATTCATGCACGCCTCGCTGCCCAGGCATCCAACGCGCAAATGTTCCTATAGAACTCTGAGGAACCAGCACCCGGGCCCATGCAGCTGTTGCCCGGCACAAAGCAGCCTCGCCATCTGCAGCTCTGGGCAGTATTGATGCAACTTCGCGAGGCCCGAGGGCCCGAGGTAATCTTCATCTAAGGACGCGAGGCTGTGCTTAAGGCCTGGGAGGAGGGGCATCCTCAGAGCGATTTCAGGGGCTCAGCCCAACCCCAACCGCATACTGGTGGTGACACCAGACATGGCCTGTGGATGTGTAGCCGCCCTGGATTTGATGCCGCGGAGCCCCTGCAAGATGACACGTCAAAGGGCAGCTTTTCTTGTTCAACAGGCTCGTGTCCTGGTTGAACCAAACAGCTGGTCTCCAAGCCCATGGCCTGGACACAGGCGCCAACAGGCTCCGACCCGAGTCTCACAGTCTCAATCACAAAAAACTGCAAACGCAAAAAGGCGCCGCGCACGAAGCTAATGCGCAAAGCCCTGGTCAGCTTCTACGCGGAAAAGCTTCTCTTCTACGCATTGGGAATCCTGCTCTGGCATACTTGTCTATTTGCATCCGTCCATATGTGTGATATGTGTGGTTGAGAAATGCAGTGGTACTTGTTTCACAATGTTTCGAGATCTTTCTACCACAGCTTCTCTGGGCAAAGGTGTGAAGCATGTCATGGCTCTGCCTTGCAGCTTCCAAGGTGATCCTACCATAAACTAAGTCACAAACACGCTCCAATGGGGTAGGTGTGACCATACTTTACAAAGCTTTGGAATCACGACACAGAATCATTGCGAGAACTTGCTCTCATGTGAAGGCAAGAACCCGATTTTGACAGCATAGGAGATGTGCAAGCTGAGTTTTGTGGCACTTGCTGGCTGGCTTGCTCCCTGTCACTGTTTCCCGCGTTGGGGTGAGACGTTTCGAACCCGAATTCGGATCACTCCATGCCCTCGCGGCCCTCGCGCGTCAGCGACTCCCCAAGCCTCAGAACGTCTCAAAACGGCAGAACTGGCTTTGTAGCCACGCAGAAGCCATTAGCAGAGGCCATGTTATCGTGGGATGGCTTCTTCTGGGCCCGCTGCTCCACGCTTGGCTGCTCCTCCTCGCGCAGCTGCTCCCGGCGACCCAACAAGGCCTCAGCCAAAGCTTCACAAGCCTCTCCCATATTTGAAATGGATCCCAGTGCTAAGGATGCCAAGAATTGTAAGCCCCACTGGTACCGCTGGTCGGTTACGGTTCGTCTTGGACACCAGGCGTTCACAAGGGCCAGGACTCCAAGAATCACCAAGGAGATGGCAAAGAAGGGCCTCAAAAGGTCTTTGAAGGCTCGTGAAGACAGTGGCTCTAGGGCTTCCGGCAGCTTGTAGTCTGAAGGCAGCAGGATCATCGCCACGGCCTCTAAAACATTCCAAGATGCGTAGCCATCTCTTTTGTTCCGGGCTTCGTTTTCATAACCACATAGGCCGTCACCAGCACTACCACGGCACCAATGGCAAAATAGAACTTGTACCTGGAACATCATCACATTAAGTCACATCTTCAGCTGTCGCATGCTGTCTTCCAACCGTAGCCGCCGTAGCCTCTGCCACTGGTAGTGCCTTTGGAGACGCCTGGAATGCTGAAATACAAAAGGGATCCGATCGTGCGCCCGGCTCGAGGCAGCGGCTTTGCTCCGGAGCTGAAGGCTTTGGAAGCCCCTTGCAGGTCATTGGTCCTTGCCTCCCAGCTAGTCCGGGTGTTCCATCAATTTCGTCATAAGTCATATCTAGCACGACAAGCTTGTGATACTTTTTTTTAAACGATTTAAGGCATGAGGGAAAGCTTTAAGTCCCAACTGCTTGCGCTTTGAAGCTTCCGTGGCATTCTGGGCTTTGTCTCAATTTCGTCTGCCATTGAGATTATTTCGTCGCATCCGGAAGGTTGAGACCCGGACTGGCTGCTCTTTGGGCACCAAAATTATTTCGATCGGTGCAATCGGAAGCCTCAGACCTACGTGCTGCTATTTGGCCGCTGAGATTTTTTTGGCACATTCAGTAGCCTGAGATTTTTGCGGTGAACTTGGAAGCCTCAGACCTCTGCTGGCAGCTATTTTGGTGCCGAGATTTGCTTTCTGCGCCGAGATTCTTGCTGTGCACTCAGAAGCCAAGCCTGAAATCTCCACTGGCTGCTATTTGGGTGCTCAGCTATTTGGGCGCCATTTGGGCGCCGAGCTTATTTCACTGCCGAGGCTGCTATTTGGACGCCGAGATTGTTTTGGCGAACTCGGCAGCCTCCACTTTGGCTGCTATTTGGGCGAGATTTCTAGTTAGAAGCTTCCGGTGTCGCTACGAGGACTACAATCTACAAAAAAGATTCTGCACTACACTAAGCTAGCGTACAGCGGCAACTGGGAACTGCGGCTATGCTCTTCAAGCGAAGGACTCAGTCGCCTTTCCTCGGAACTGCACGCTACTCACAGTGCTTTCCGGCAGGCTGCTCATGGAGAGCTGGAAGGAGTCGGGAGAAGGGCAACGGCCAGAAGGGGTGCGCACAAGGCAAGCAGGGCGCTCAGAAGCCTGAGACCTCCACTGAGTGCTATTCGGGCGACGAATTCTGTCGGCGCACCCAGATAAGCCTGAGACCGTCCTGCTATCTGTCCAGGGATGTCCGTCCTCTTATCTCTTACTATCTCTTCTCCTCTCTGTCCTCTGATCTGTCCTCCTGTTGTGTCCTAGCGTCCGTCGTCTTTCCTCTCCTCTGAACGTTCCTCTTCTTGTCTCCTCTTGTATGTCGTCTTCGCTGTGCTCTGAGCTATCCTCTTGTTTTGTCCTGCTATCTGTAATGTCTGGCCCCCAGTGACGGGGTGGTCCTTGCCCGCCCCTTCGTCGGCATGTGCCCTTACATCAAACAACCTCACTGAGGGTTTGGAATAAGCCTTACAGTGAACTAAATGAGTACAAATTACAATTCTGAACAGGCAAGGCGTGAGGTCCCATATGGAGACTGTGAAGGCAATTACGAAGCATGGTGTGGGCAGACTTCCAGAGAGTATCATCACCAAGCCAGCAAGTGCAAGTTCTTTGGAGACAACGCCCTCTCCTCAGTATCTGCAAGCTCTGAAAAGTAAAAAGAGCTCCAAGTGCTGTAATTTACAATCTCCGCACGCCCTGGATGCTGCTGTAATTTACAATATCTGCAGATTCTAGATGGGCTCCAAATGCTGTAGCTTACAATATGGAAGCCTCCACGCGGCAATTTGTAATATCTGCAGCCTCTAAGCGACCCAAAATGCTGCAATTGTACAGAAACACCCAAAACGCTGCGATTTGCAGCATTTCGGCCCGACCACAAAATCGAACTCTTGCCTGAGGCTTTCAAGAGAATAAGAAAACAAAAGAATGGCGATAACTTTGTCTCCGTTGGTCCTTCATTGAAACAACACGGGCAGCCTCCGCACTCCCAACACAATTGCTTGGCACCTGCCTCAAGCTGATTCAGCTGCGAATCCCTCTCGGCCATAGCTCTCATGTTGTCCTAGCAAGAGCCGGGGCTGTGATCGACTTCCTTCTCGAACCTATGTCACGTTGCATTTTTTGAAACTGTTCACCATGTTTGGCTGCTATTGTGGCCACCCTTGGTGCTGTTCTGTAAAGTCGTACGCATTAAACTAGAATGGCTCTCCTGCATCACAGCCATGGCACCCTGCACCTGGTCCTGGACACCTGAAATACCCAGCTTCGCCAGTGTCTTAAGAGGTCCGTGCATATGGAAGAACAGAAAACCAGGTTTTCAAAATCCGCCGACATTGGCCAGAGGGGCTCAGCGCACTGTCAAGCCCAACATTTCTCCCATCCTCTTCCCTCCTCCCACTTCCTCAGCACCCCTCCCCCCTCCCCTCTTCTTACGTTTTTGCCGCGTAACCTCTCCCTCTCCTTACCCTCTTCCCCTCCCTTGCCCCCCCTTTCCAAAGGCCGCCCTTCCTGTGGCTTCTCTGCGCTGGCGGGAATAGAAAGGAGGGGCAGGAAGGCGGGCGCGGAGAAGCCATGGAAGAGGAGAGAATTGAGGGAGGGGCTCGACGGGGGGGTGAGATTGGCCCGTGCCTGGATTACCTCACAAAGTGTACAGTAAGCAG